CCCCCCCCCCCATCCGTCCATCCATCCATCCACCCTTTCCATTCACAACTAGAAAGAATTACACAATAAAGCAAAAGACGCACCAGAATACTTTACACAGAAGTTTGAAATAAATGTTAGAAAACGAAAACCAGATGTAATTCCAGGGGAGACTAAATGACCATTATCGTCGACCCTGTATCCTGACTACTCCCGAGTGAGTGGCTACCACATGTCATCATCAGCCGTCTTCGCTCCCTGGCCAGACTCGGCATAATGAGTGTAGCTACCGTTGCTTGGCTGGCCCAAGTAGTTATGGGCATTGGCGACACTGTATCCGCTACCACCACCGCCGCCACCGCTACCGCCATTTGCGCTGTAGTTGGAATGATGCGAGTCGCGTGGGTTCTGGTTATATGCGGCACCTTGAGAGGCACTCTTCTGATGGTTCCCATTTTGCTGGGGTTGCTGCGAGAAGCCATTTTCTTGTTGCTGATATACGCTAGGCCACTCCTGAGTCTTTTCTTGCTGCTCGTACTGTTGTTGCTGTTGCTGTTGCTAAGCTTCTGTCAGCTAGACTCTGTGAATACAAAGAAGATATTCATACCTGCTGGTACCGCTGGTATTGAGCAAACTCCTCTGGCTGTGCTTGCTGTTGCTGCTGCTGAGGCGCTTGTTGTGGTTGCTGAGCGACTTGTTGCTGCTGCATCTGCAGCTGTTGCTGTTGTTGCTGCATTTGTTGCTCCTTCTTTTGCTGCGCCGCTTGCTGGGCCTGCTGGGCTTGTTGAGCCTGCTTTGCCTGCTTCGAGTTGCCAATGGAGATTTGCGGATGCATTTGCTGCACCTTTGCAAGATACGAGTACATAAAGTTACTGAGCAGAACTTGCGAGTAGAGTTCGCGACGGGGATTTGCGAGTTTGATATGAGCCATGCGGTAGATGGCACGTTCCTCGAGAATCGAAAACCGAGTCCAGTTGTAGTCAATGTCGGGCTTCAGGATGCGTACCGGGGGGTCTGGTGACAATCCGCGAGAGGCATTCTTCTTATGAGACGACTCCTTCTCGCCCTTCTTCTTTCCACCTCCGAAGATGCTTGACAACAAACCATGTTCCTTCTCTTTCTTGCCATCGCCGGCAGTCTTCTTGGCACTCTCCTTTTTGCGCTCCTCTTCCAGTTTGACATTTTCACGGTCCAGTACCACGCTTTCGCGTCCACGGCCGCCGCCCTGTATCGATGTCTGCAGCAGATCGAGTCTGGTGTCATCATGTCCTTTTTCTTGGGGCTTACTAAGCTTGTTCTTGGTCTTTTTAGCAGCATCCTTGTCCTTGTCCTTTTCGCTCTTGTCCTTTTCCTTTTCCTTGTCGCCACCAAACCATCCCCAACTTGTTTTCCTGGGGCCTTCGGAGCCATCCTTCTTGTCCTTGGACTTCTTTTCCAACTTCCTCTCATCGGGAGCGTTGGGAATGATTGACAAGGAATCGACCCGATTGCTGGTGCCAGGCATTGGAGATCCATGGCCTACCAGATCGTCCATTGACTGGGAGGGTTTAATAGGAGAGGCCTGTGCAGCCTGAGCATGGCGATTCTGTCGAGCTGCAGGAGGCTGGCGTTGTTGGTTCGAAGGCGGCTGCTGGGGCTGTGGATAGCTGCGAGGACCAGCTGGTTGCTGTTGAGACGGAGGCGGAAGTTGACGTGAAGAGGACCGTTCGGGCAGTTGCAGCGGTCTTTGATCTTGCTGGGGGGATGTCTCGATAATCTGAGGTACCTGTTGTTGGGGAGGAACATATCCTGGCAGAGGTGCTGTTGTCCGGCCGTTGGAAGCAATTCTCGAATGGAAGCGTCTTGGCTGAGGAGACGATTTCTGCTCAGGAGAAGCTGAACCGGGAGCTTCTTCTGCTGAGCTTGGTCTTTCAATGTTGGAAGTCGTGCGATTCGGCGGAGGAGGCCTTGAGAAGTTGTTGGACGACTCTTCAAACGCTGAGTTAACAGGTTCAGAATGGGTACGGGAGAGAGGTAGGGGAGGGACTTCGGGTATGCTGTCTGTAGACTGTACAGGCGAGGTAGAGGGAGAGTCTTCGGTATCCGTCTCTGCCTGTCGGCCGCTGACCAGTCGCCGCGAAAGGGCCGGGCCTCCCTTTCGTATACTGCCTCGTCTATAGGTGGTGCGTGTGGATCGCTTCAGCGTTCCCATGCCACCCATTTTGCTACCCGGGACAATGGGCAAATCTCCGTCATCGCCCAGCTCACCTTCGCCACCAAAGGTCTTGTGGTCAATGCTCATGCGCCTTATGAGTGACACGGGATCTTCTTGGATGTTCTCCAGCTCCTGGAGGTTGTCCAGACCTCCGTTGGGTTTGCTGGCGCCAGAGCGTTTCCTCTCGAGCCTCTCGGCCCCATCCTTGTAGCCTGAACCAGTGTCAATCTGTCTGGAGAGCATCGACTTCTTCCGCCGCAGCCCAGCTCCCGAACCCTGACGTCCGAGAGCAGCGTCTGGATTTAGTGAGTCCGAATCTCCCGAGCGGCGCCTGGTCTTGTCAATCTTGTCTTCAATAAACGTTTTGAACTCCATGGGAGCGAGTTCGGGGTGCAATCGGGCGGGGACCCAAAACAGCTTCGACTCGTCTTCTTCCGATACGGCGGGGGGCGACGGGGGCGAGTTGGCAGATTGAAATGACGGCAGATCCGGATCAGCACTGTTGACGCCCATGGACATCCTCCGGATAGCCTGCAGGTTACTCAGTTCCTGCGCGAGACCGGCAGGGCTCGACTCGTAGTCGAGATCATTGAGGGGAAACTGGTGCGAGGCAGTGCCCGAGTTTGAACGAGACAGCGGGGGAGACATGTGGTCGCCGTTGGACGAGTCCCTACCCAGCGCAACCTTGTTTTGGGGCGCGTCGGAACCATTGTATGAGCTGGCTGGGGAGGCGGGGTGGTCGGAGGACAATTGGGGCCGCAGCGGGGACCTGGCCGGAGGAGCGTTGGGGAAGGGGTCAAAGGCCTCAAAGGCACCAAAAGACTGGATGGAATCGCCGTTGGGGCTGGGGATGAAGCTTAGAGGCCTCAGGCTGCGTCTGTTAGACTCGGTGTCGCTGTCTCCGCCGTAGAGGTCGCCGATGGCCTCGGTGACGTGATGGTTGTCATCGCTGATAGAAATCTGGGGCGCGTGGCCTCGGCGGGGCGGGTTCCGCATTTGGTACAGGCGGTCCAGCTCTTGTGCTCGATCGGTTGCCTGTGGTAGAGCGAAACGTGGTCAGCTTGGGCGTTTGGATGGGCTGTGCGGACTTTTGCCGGGAGTGCAGTACTAGCAGCACAAGCAGCAGCAGCAGCAGCAATGCCGCATTCTCCTCTTGTGCTTCGTGGTGGTGGCCCCCCTTGGTCGTGTGCAGTGCTGCATCCACGGCTGTGTCTAGCCTGGGCAGGAGAGGCAATATGCGCGGTGGTCGGGCGGGCGGGCGGGCAGGGGAGGGAGGAGAGACTCACCATATCGCGAGGGTTGCGGAGGACAAGGATGAGGGAGGGTTTGGGGCTGGGTCAAATGCCGCGGCCTGGGGTGATTAGGGCAGCGCCGTAGCGGCGAGGACATCCACGGATAACGAGCGACAGACAGAGGGATGAGCAAAGGCGTCGGGCGTCTGGTAAGGCACAGCGAGAGCGACCATGGCCAGCAGGCAAGACAATGCGGTGCGGTCGTGGTCCCAGGTGCACACAGTTGTCAGGCAGGCCCAGGCTAGCGCCGCTTTGCGTTAGGAGCGTCTACCGCAGCGGAGAAGACCCGATGAAGCCCTGCCATGACTCGCCATGCCTCAAGGGGGACTCTCTCTACTCATTGGTTTTTCTGCTCCACTTGCTCTGCCCAAACAGCCGCCGTCCTGGCGTGCATGTCCAGCATTGCCTGTCACCCTGCATGGCGGCGCCTCCTTGGGCGTGTCGCTCGTGGGAAGCCAATCCCGTGTGCTGTGCACTCCCCCCGTTGGCCACGCCAGCCGCGTACAATACGGTACGCTACGCTACGCCTACGCCTACATGATCGCCCTCGCCAGCCTGCCCATGCACACGCTACACTGCACCATCACCATCACCATTACAACACGCCAGCCACCAGTCTGCCTGGTTCGTTGGTCGTCTAGCCATCTCCCTTTCTCTGACAACTTGGAACATCGTCTTTGATTCCTGGTTCACCAACAGGCTAACAAACCAGCCTCCCAGCCACATTCAAGTGCGCCTCGCTAAGTACATGTCTCCAAGTACACTGTACATACGTATATCTAGGCACGCCCCAGCACATGCCAGCATGTATACACAATACCTACTTCCAACATACATACGTACATGCATCCATTGTCAAGAATTGCTATGTCGCTTCCAGACAAAAATGGCAGACGCAACCGCGCAGGTAACAGCCCCTAGTGCCAAAGAAAGATTCAAGTAGTCGTACTCGTCTTCCTCCTGTTTGGGAAATGCAGTCGACGGGTGTGTCGCACTCTCAGCTAGCTGCCAAAAAATAATAATTGTCAGCTTCTCAGCCTCGTGTTACATAACCGGAAAAAGGGGCTTACGTGAACAAACAGCTCAGAGATACTATTCCACTTGGCGCTGACATGTAGCGGCGGTGACATTCTCAGCCCACTCGTGTACTCGTCCGGCTGTTGCTCGCACCGCTGCATCGTCTTGTCTTGGTCAGCCTTGAGTGCCGTATACACTGCTGGAAGCTGGTCCAAGTGAGGATACTTTTTTCGCAGCTCGACAATGTGCGCAAAGCTCGTCGGGTCGCTTGAATCGTACGTGTAACACAACAAGTCGCACGCATCCAGCTTGGCCTGATTCTCCAAAATGGCCGGTTCCAGCTCCCCCAGCTCTTCCAGGATGAGGTAACATTGCTTGCCGCCTTTGAGCTCCACGCTGTTGACGGCCGACCGGGGCTTGATCGTGGGGTGGTATGTCTGGCTGAATGGCCGTTGGAGGAAAGCAGAGAGGAGTGAGCTCTTTCCGCTTCCACTTGATCCCAGCACATAGCATAAAAACACGTTGCGCTCGACTCGCCCAGGCTTCTTTCGCCGCTTCCTAGCTTTGGTCACTTTGAGTGCGCTAGTGGTGCCTCCACGCTCGCCACTTTCAAAACCTAGATATGCGAGGTATGCCAACGTCGTCTTGGGCTCCTCGAATGTGGTCATGCTCCATTGGGCTAGCCATCCTTGTAATGTAATGTAACCTGCCTCGTTCCGCACAGTGCACGACGGGAACGCAGAGTCAACCCACGAGGTCGGCATGCCCGGTGTGGGCGCAAACAGATTTGCAAGCTCGCGGTCATTAAGCCCGCCATCATTGTCCATGTCGAACTTGAGAAACAGATCAACAAAGAAGCGGTATCCGGAAGGACTCAGTTCGGCCGAGGAAAACTGGGGGACCTCGAACTTGGGATGGAGGAAATCATCTTGCAAACTCAGACTGTCAGTGTAGTGAAACTTTCTCAGGATAATCCATATTGTCTCGTGGCGCCCCTTTTCAGCAAAGATCTTGTTCAACAGCAGAAATCCCTTCTCGTCCATGCCGTACTCGCCCGTTGCACCAGGCGCAAATCGTTCCATGGATTTTTTGATGTTTGCCAGGTCGTCATCGCCCAACGGTTTCTCAAAGCACTTGATCTGGAAATCGTGGATCTCCTGGTCGTTCCAGTAGCCATCCTTGTCAGTGTCGCACAAGTGGAAAACACGTTGCAGCGCAGACACGGCCGCGGGCTTGAGCATGTTCTCCTTGGAGTCGTACAGAGGCGCTATCGGGTGTGTGACGGCCTTTTGGCAGAGGAAGAAGACCTCGTTGATGTTGTGGTGCTCTTTGGCGCTGACCCGTATGCACGAGTCAATCTCCTTGAACTCGTTCATGACCGGCAGCATCTCCTCCGAGACGACCTGCGACGTTGTGCCGTTGGAGGCCAGGTCCGACTTGTTGGCGCATAGCACTACAGGTACGTTGACACCCAGTGAGCGGAAGTAGGGCATCCAGAAGAGGGCGACCCTCTCATAGCTGTAGTGGTCCGAGTATACCAGGAGGATGACATTGGACTTGCGGAGTTCCATGCGGAGAGCATGGCGTTCGTGGGGGAGGGCCGAGGTGTCGACAATGGTGGTGGTGACATTGTCGGGCGTGCCGAGCGTAGGAGGCAATGTCACCTGTGGCAGTACCGGCTGGATCTTTGCTGTGACAAAGACATCCTTGATGAGAGACGTGATGATGGAGCTCTTGCCGACGCCATCGTCACCGCACAGACATATTCGTACTAGGGGAGGGGGGATTGTGTGTCAGCCAAGTAAAGTAGAGGCTCGGGAGGGTACACTCCACATACCGTTAGCCATTCCCCGGCTGCATACCTATCGCATTTCAGGCGGGCAGCAGATATGTAGATGGCGCAGAGGGTAAGGGCGGAGCAAGGGGCGGAGGGAGAGGGGTCCGGGCGCACTGCCGCTCAAGGGCTCTCAGGGGAGTGTCGAGAAGGGTGGAGGAGCATGGCCAAAGCAATAATGGTGGTGGGCGTACACGGTGGAGGGCGTGCGTGTCCGCTGTCAAACGGGCTTGGCACACGTGGGAGACGATCGCAGGTGCGCCCCCCCGCCAGCGCGCCCCGCAAGAATGGTCGCTGGGAGAGGTGCAACATGGATGAGTGGCGGGTTGTAGCGCGCCCCTGCACTCGCCCGCCATGCCATGCCATTTGCATCTCCACCAACACCCAGAGAGGATCATGGATGGTGCGCTCCTCGAGAGCCATGGCATGGTTCCAGCGCAACACGGCACGGAGCCGAGAGGCGAGTGTCTCCGCTTTCCACTTCCCCAGATCCCACCGGTTGCATGGTCCGCGCTCTCGTCTTGTCGTCGTCGTCGCCGCCGCTGCTGCTGCTACTGCTGCTGCTGCTCCCGTTGCTCCTCTGTGTGCGCGTGCTCCCGCTCCCGTCGACGCATCTCGCTCGCTCGCCCTCTCTCTCGGCCTTACGTCCTGTTCCTTGTCGACAGTGAACCAGGGGGACCATTCTGCTGCCGAACGCTGAGCCGATCGCCCGAGACAGATTGCACTGTCGCCGCCCTGAGTTGCAGCCATGTTGTGAGTGCCCATAGCCTTTGTGCTGACCGCCTGCCAACCGCCAATCGCGTCCCTATCATGTTCCGCATGCACCGCGTGCCCTTGACTGATGTTTTACAGCGTGCTACCCCCTCCACCGCGCTACCCTGTCGGAGGCTATCCAGGCGCACAACCGGGTCAGCTTATCGAGACAAACAACACCATCACCCATCCTTCGGGCCCCGACTATCAGCTCGTGGTTGGAGAAGGTATTTGGCCTGCCTGACGCCCCCCGATGCATGACGCCTGCCGCTGACACTGATGCCATGATAGGAACCTATGTGCTTCGCGACGACCTCCACCTAGCCACTCCCCCGCCCCATCCCTCGGAAGCTCCCGTCCATAATCCCAATCCCCTTGCGACGACCGTCTCTCCCCCCACGGCCGGTACCAAGCTTTCCCTCGTTGCTCTCGCGCCCCGCCAACCCTCGCAATCCCAGCTGTATCGATTCGGCACCCGCACCTCGACGCGATCCCAGGTCCCACAGAGCATCCAGGAGTCGCCGCACGAGTCGAATAGCCAGGCGAGTGATGTGGACTCTCATGGCGCAAACGGACTTGCAGCAGCACCCTGGGACGGCCTAAAGACACCCGTGTTTGGTGAGGGAAATCAGGCACTAGCTGCAGTCAACGGCAAAGATTCCAAGGACCCGTCCAAGAGACGAAAACCTAAGAGCAACATCGTCAAGAGCAATTCATCGTTTGTGTCCAGAGTCATTCCACACGAGGCGCTGACAAAGCGGCTGCAAGAACACAATCCAAATGGCCTGTACGCCTTTGCAAACATCAACCGCGCGTTTCAATGGTTAGACCTGACGTCACCCACAAAAGAGGAGCATTTGACAAAGATACTCTTCACCAAGGCGCATGCGCTATGTCACGATATCAACCAGATCACAAAGGGGCCAAACCACCTGGACATCATCATGGGCTTCTCCACAGGCGACATTATCTGGTACGAGCCCATGTCGCAAAAATATGCGCGCATCAATAAGAACGGTGTCATCAATGCGACGGGTGTGTCGGACATACGGTGGATGCCAAACAGCGAAAACCTGTTTCTGGCCGCGCACATGGACGGCAGCCTGATTGTCTACGATAAGGAGAAAGAGGATGCCGTGTTTGTGCCAGAAGAAGTCGCGTCGTCACCACCTTCGGACGACGGCTTGAGCGAGGGGGAGAAGAGGCTGAAATCGCTCTTGACCATCAAAAAGTCTGTCAACTCCAAGAACCAGAAGACGAACCCCGTCTCGTACTGGCAAGTGTCGCGGTCAAAGGTCAACGCGTTTGAGTTTTCGCCCGATCGCCGGCACCTGGCGGTAGTGTCCGAGGATGGGTCATTCCGAATCATGGACTTTCTCCGAGAGAAGCTGTTGCACCACTACATGAGTTACTACGGTGGCATGATGTGTGTATGTTGGTCGCCAGACGGGCGGTATGTAGTGACGGGAGGTCAAGATGACCTGGTGTCGATATGGTCGTTGGAGGATAGCATGCTAGTGGCACGTTGCCAAGGACACAACTCGTGGGTGACTGCTGTGCAATTCGACCCGTGGCGTTGCGACGAGCGCAATTATCGGATTGGAAGTGTGGGAGAAGACTGTCGCTTATTGCTGTGGGACTTTAGTGTGGGCATGCTGCACAGGCCGCGAGCAGTGAGTCAACAAGAGGGATCTTGAAGCTGACTGATATGGAGATGCTGACAGATGATTTAGGCTTCGGTGCGACAACGCGGCAGCATCACGTCGTCCAACCTGAAGATGCAGCGCTCACAGACGGGTAGTTCGATTAACCGGCTGCGGTCAAACTCTAACCTGACGTCGGGCAGCCTGTCGGAGGAAGAGGAAGTTGTGCATCCAGTGGAGCCACGGGCGCGCACGGCCATGTTACCTCCGGTGCTGGTGAGTCGACTTGAAACCTCAACATTGGGCAGAAATCTAATCGCCGTGAGGGACAGGCTAAAACGGTCCACGAGCACCCACTGTGTTGGTTAGGGTTTGAAGAGGACTGCATCCTCACCTCATGCAAGAATGGTGAGTTTGTTGGAACAAGGAGAAATTATCGTGTCACCTCATGTCCACTCATGACACGCACGTTGCACGCCACCCATGGGTGAGATCTGCGATAAGGGTCGTGCTAGTGGGCGGCATATTGTCGTGCGCAGGAACACCCGTGTGTCGGAGGCTCCTAGCGCTTTGCAGAGACTCGCTTAGGGATTTGTTGAGTTTGTGAAGGGTCAAAGGTTAGATAAGACAAAGTGGATCGAATGCTGACTTGTTGACCATAGGCCACATCAGAACATGGGACCGGCCAAAGGAAGGGACTGGCAATGACGACAGCAGCATGTCAGCGATTGCGAGCGCAAATGGTTCGTAGGGCAGGGGTGGTTGGAATCAGCACGAGTTGGAGTAAGTAAGTTTGATAAGGGAGCAGGACAAGGCTTGTCTTTGTCTTGGATGGATAGATGGATGGATGGATGAATGTCAGCTGCTGTGTGCTGGCTGTGGTGATAGTGGTGGTGGCGGTGGTGGTCGGATGTTTGGCCGTGGTGCTCCGATATAACCCGATGTGTGGCTCACATGCGAGATAGAGGAGAGGGGGCGTGTTCAGCCCTATGGGAGGGAAGGAGGTATTTTTCTTGTTCTAGAACGCGTGGTGTAGCAGGAGCAAGGGTCGACACGACATGTGTAGTATGCTGAGGCGGGAGCAAAATCAAGTTTTGTTATCTCCACCCGAATGCAGGCAGGTGCGTAAATCATGACAATTTGCTATCCGGCCGGGAAACTCTCCTGAGACGTGATTGCGAGATGCGAGGCAGGGCTTGGTAGTGGATAGTGACGGGCGTTGCGGGAATTAGGGTGCCTGTGTGTAGTCGCGTCTCTCATCAGCTGCGGGTCCGTGGATGAGGCTCTGCGATATCCACCGTTGCGGCAATGCACGTCTAGCCGCAGATTTTCATGGCCGTGCTCGCCCGGCCCGAGAAATACCCTCGCGTCCAGCGCTCGACTGGCTGTGAAGAGAGGGGCTGGGTTGGAGTCGAGCAGAGCAGAGCAGAATAAGCGGGCTCGTGTTGGGGTATGGCATTGTTGCATTTTGGGGCAAATTGGATGAGTGGAAGAATGGATTGGGATGCTTTGATAACAAAGCAGGCATCTACGAGAGAGAGAAACAACAAAGGCAGTGACGCCATAGTATGGGTGATGTCGATTGTCAATGTCGTCACGTGCTTGGCGCAGACAAGGTGCACTCAGCCTCCAGTGCCATGCAGATAGCGTAAAGAGACAACAGAGTGCGTGGGATGGCAGGCGGTTGGGCGTCAGCCCACCAGCGCGAAAGATGGCTCAGTCGCTCTCTAACTGATACCGGCGAGGTGCATCGCCCAGGTGGCCATGGGGGTTGGATTTTTCGCTGCGGCCTGTCCGATTGCGGTAGCGGCAAAGGCATGCAAGCTGTGGCGTAATGCTTGGCTGATGGTGGATGTGGCATGCATGGCCTGGTTTCCACGCTCCCAAACAGTGGAGTGGATGCACATGCATCCGCTTGCATATACTTTTCTACATGCTGTACCTACTACATTCACATGTACATACTACCTACTCACACATGCAATAATATGTACACAGCTCACCACCGGGGCCCACCCAGACCAATACGCCTGGCCAACGACGCGCGTAATCGTGCGTGCTGCTCGTAACTATGTGCCGGCCGGTCAGTCAGGGCAGTGCTGCTGCTGCTGCTTCTGCTGCTGCTATCGCGCCGTTGGCGACACGCTATCGGAACACCTTCTTCGATGCCACCCCCTGCGCCTGGTACACCCTAATCGCGGCCTGAAAAATATTCCCAGACGGCCCCTTGATCCTCAGAAAACGCGCTAATCAGAGCACCGATGCGAGCGCCCGCTGTCCCCACCCAAGTGCCCATGAGCTCATCAGGGTGCACCTGCGAGTAGAGTAGTCGTAGCGGCCGTGGCCCATCCCACGCCGCTGTTCTTTGTAGAGTAGTATATCTGAAGCCCGAGCAGCACGCGGCAGCGCCACCACCACCGCCAGCTGCACACCTCTTTCTCCTTTCTCTCTACTTATAGACGCTACATATACACGTTACATTCCCTGCCCTCTCTCTCTCTCTCTCGCTCTCGCTACTTCCTCTTCACACCACCCCCCCTCCCCTCCCTTCCCCTCCGCGAATGGACCACTGATACATCACCCTCGGCCATCACCTGTCTGTCTGAGTCGATCCCACGCCATCGCTCTCAGCCCCGCCAGCAGCACACTCACACCACAATTGCTGCCCTCCCATTCGCAACCATCATCCGTCATCTCCGTCTCACTCGCGATTGGCATCCGCTCTCTCCGAGCCCGTATTCTGACTCTTGTGTCAGCTTGCGACTGCAACCGGCGGATATATTTCAGCTGCCGATTCCCCACGTCGCACCCGGCTATCTGATGCTTGTCTTGACCTCGGCGTCATCTTTAGCCAACCCTTTGTTACATCATGCCTCGCCCAAGCGTTGGAGTGTTTGGCAGAAATGCCACTCCTTGCCTTGAGATCAAGTACGCCTGCACTACTGCAACTCTCGCAATGCGAGTCATCTAATTGTTCCGCAGGCCAGATTCGCCTTTTGTCGTCTTCTACGGCGAGTCATCCGAATCGCATGAGACGGAGCTCAAGGGCAAGCTCATCCTGAACAACCCAGAGTCCATGTCGGTGCGTAGCTTGCGCATAACACTTACAGGCACTCGCAAAGTTTCGTACGGTAGCACCCCTTCTGGCTCAGCCTCACCATCTAGTTGCATGCTAACGTCTTCGCGCTTGCAGATGGCACTTGACCAATACCGTCACTCCGCAGCCCATAACGCAAAAAACAAACTTCCTCGTTGAAGAGCTTCACCTGTTCCCCATTGACACCGGCCACAAGACCAAAGCACACAAGATCAATGCTGGATACCATGAGTGGGACTTTAAATTCAAGATGCCTCAGAACCTCGACCAGAGTGTCGAGGGCCTGCCCTCCAACTGGATTGTGTACAACCTCAAGGCAACCGTAGACCGGGGTTACATGAGCAAGCAGCTCAGTGCTTCGACGCACATTCGCGTAATCCGGACGCTCGGCCGCGACATGCTCGAGTCCATGCCCATGGAGCAGATCAACGAAGACATTTGGGCAAACAAGCTTGCCTACAAGATCACCGTCCCCCAGAAGAACTACATTGTCGGAACGCAAATAACCGCAGACTTTGTTCTGATTCCTCTTCGGAAAGGTGTCGAGATTTCAACGATTAAGATGGAGTTGATTGAATCGCGCCAACTCTTTGCAGAGTACGCTGGCCGACGCATCAGTCATCAGCAGGAAATGCAAGTTGCTCTGATGGAAGGCAACATGCCTGAAAACTCCGCACGCACAGTTCCCGACGGAACCGAGGATGTCGATGCGCTTTTCGACGAGTCGCATCGCTTCTCCATGACGCTCGACCTACCAAAGTCCTTGAAAAACTGTCGGCAATCAGTCGACACGGAGAACATTCGTTTGAGCCACAAGCTGCGCTTATACATAAACCTCAAGAACCCAGAAGGCCATACCAGTCAGCTGCTTGTCAAGAATCACGTCCACCTCTTCATTTCGCCAAATCTGCCTCCAAACGAAGACCAAAGCGTCGTGGTTGATCAGAACATATTGTCTCAGCAGGCCATGCAGGATGAGGTCAACCAGAACGCCCCACCTACGTACGGACTGCATCAGTTGGATGAACTCTACAACGACATTGATCCTTCCGGTTTCATGACACCCGGCGGTTACCGCAGCATGATGAACAGTGGTGCTAACACGCCATTTTTCGCTCAAAGCAGGCGTGGCTCAACTGAAGATCTCACGTCGTTGGATGCTGCCATGCACCAGCCAGGCGGTGGTGCATCGGCCGCAGCTTTGCAGCATCGTCTTGCAAACCTCAGCATGAACCACAGCGACCACCCAACACGCTTCCACCCGTCAAGGCAAAATTCGTCAGGTGACAGTACCCCTGCTCAGAGCGGTGAGCCTGCGTACTTTGATCTCCCTGCATCAAATTACGACATGGATGCCCTGGCCAGGACACCCAGCTACAACACGGCTGTACGCACACCCGCAGGTTCGCGGACACCTGGAGGCATGGACATGGATCTTCCCTCATACGAGATTGCGACATCGAGGCCAAGCTCTCCAAACCGGAGCAGGAGCAGCAGAGCTACCACCCCTAGTCCGGCTCGTAGCCTGGATACCCTGAACGAGGAGACATACCGAAATACGCAGATGAACAGTAGGAGACAGAGCCCAAGGACCAGTGATGATGGAAGGTAAAACACCCATCTTACTCTCTTCCTCTCTCCCCCGTTCTATTATCGGCATACGACGGTCTTTGAGGAGCCTGCGCCTTGCTCTTTCCGCAGAGCGTAGTAGCCACCGAAGGCGTCTTCTTCTTCAGCACCACGGGCACTGTTGCATTCTTCTTGAAGTATGCCTGCCTGGTCGCTTCCAATTATCCCCACTCTCAAAAGCACATTATTTCCTGCTTTTTTGTTTTTTTTCTCCAAATCTCTCCTCATGTTTTACACGAAAGTACAATTGCTTAATGGTTCGATTTTCGAATGAGCAGTATGCACACCGCCGCACTCACGCCGACACTATCGTTTTCCTCGACCTCGTCCGACGACTCGCTACCACCATTACCACATACCCCGCAAACACATTCTGTGGGGCTCGCGGTGCCCCCACCCGTACTGGCTCGTCGAGGCCGCAGCTGCTCGGTCCGCTCAGGCAGCGCTTTTCTGGAAGTCCCCCAGCACCCAAGAATGCGCAATCGGTCGTCGTCGTCTTCGTCGTCTACACCGTCTCTTCGCGAGGCTATCGATGAGCTGGCTGGGTTTAGGAAGGCGCTTAGACATGTGGGGTGAATGATGGACGATGTATTATTCGTATTTCCTTCATCCTGACCTTTTCCATTTGTTTTTTCTTTCCTTTTCAGCACTACACATTTATACCATTTCTTTAGACTTAGATTCATGATTGGACTGCATTAGTATTGCTCTTGTTTAGATATTCATCTTTTTTTTTCCTTTTCCCCCCCTTACAGGTTTGAGGTAGCAAAAGAGGACGGACGGGGGGGTTTCTTTTTAAAACGAACGGATGGTCATGGAAATTGTGTCATGGCTTTTTTTTTCTTTCTTCTTCTGCAGTTGTTCCATTACGAGCGAGTATGTGTATGTAGTCCCGAGGATACCCAATTAATTTCCCTTTTTTTCTCTCTCTCTCTCTCCCCAAAATCAAATCCAGAGAAATACCGCATATTTCGAACTTGTCCAGTTACCTTGATATATCATGCCACGTGTGTACAAGATCATCACAACAACAACAACAAAAGAAAAAGAACTTGCAGGTTCCACGTTATCAAAAAAATGCAAATGATAAAATTTTCATCACTCCATCTTACTGTGGATAATTCTCAAACAAGAATCCCGCCGCCAACTCTACATTGCCATCGGTAGCATTCAGCGCCGCAACCGCCTCATGCCGCTAAAACCCCAGGACGACCAACTTCTACACCTCTTCATCAGGCCAGGGGGCACTAGCCTGTGGCAACCGCGTAACCATGCTCCGAATCTGATCAGCGGTGACATTCTGCAAGGGGCGATTCGAGTGTACTTGTTGCTCCTCTGGTTCCTCTGCCCTGAGCACTTTACCCAGGGCGGCGACCCAGCCGACCTGCACAGTCTCACTACTGCCGAGTTCAGCCACATGCACGATATCCTGTTCTGAATCGCCTGCGTTGAAGTACTCCCAGCCCATGACGCCGCCGAAACCCTTGCCGACATTACGGTATTTATCGCGGAGCACAGCGCAGTTTTGCCGGAGTGTTGCGAGCGAAACGTGGCCGGCGCCGTTGCCGGGGTTCGTTACTACGCCCATGACTACGCGTTCGGGCTTCCAGCCTGCGGCGACAATGGCGTCGTACCAGAGGATGCTGGCTGCGTCGCCCCAGCCGCAGTAGAATTGCGTGTTGTACCATGCCACTTCTCGCCCGAAGACGCTACATTCGAGCTCCGGGTAGCTGAAGCCGCTGAGGTGCGGGAGCGTGGGGTGGAGCGGGTTCGGACTGGGTCCAGAGGCGAGCATGGGGCGTGGGGGGCGGAGGTGCGCTGGGATTTTGGGGTCGGGCACGAGGGCTGTAGCGACGGGGGCGAGGGTGATGAGGAAGGCGGGACCAAAGTCTGCTCGGAGACGTGAGATGAGGCGTGTGATTGTGGATAAGGCGATTTCTTCTTCGACGTCGAGGTCGAGGCCCGAGAGCTTATAGCGCGAGATGATGGCATGGAGAGGGGTGTAGTAGGCTTCAAACTTTGGCGACATGTTTAGTACTCAAGCAGTCGTCCTTGAGAAAAATAAAGGGAGTCCTACACTCTCGTCGTCGCCGCTTAGCCTCTCATAACTACCCTTTGCTGCTCCGCCCAGCATGCCGAGCACCTTGACCCCGCTTCCTTGCAACCAGTTCACCTCACCCCATAGCTGATCGTACCGCGTATCGTCTGGCCGATGGTCGTTGAGTGTAATGTTTCCCGCGCCCTCGTTGAGATGGATGGCCGCGATAATGACATGGGTGATGCCCGTGTTGTTGGTCACCAACGGTAGTAACGAGTGGTAGTTGCCCTGTGAATCGTGAAACGTCTGGTGGTATACGATAAGCCGAGGGCCAGTTCCCGGGGGGAGCAACTTGGGTGCTGACGAAGCCATGATCTAAGGGACAACGTCGTCGCAACTGTCTAGGGATGGGCCTGGTACGTGGACGCATGCCTACACTCAACGCGTGCCATAGGGCTGAAGTGGGGCAGACACGCTACGTCATAGCGTACTCGCAACACCAAAGGGCAGGGTGTCAATGCATTCTTATTTGTCGATATTCACATGCTATAGGCGATCCAATCATGTAGGGTAAAGTGCTAGTGTAATATTTGATGCATGTGCTCTCGTAACATATCCCGTCCTAAACGCCGCTTGCTGTCCGATGAGGTACAGCCCTAATCCTTGTATCCAGAACATAGCGGGAATCTCATGTAGACACCAACGTCTCGTGTGCTCTGCAACAATTGTGCAAGCCACCAAAATTGCATCACAGTCGTAGCATCCTCCAGGGACCGCTAGTGGTAGCCGTTGCTGTACTCGTGGCGTGTGTCGCCGTTCATTCCGCCAAAGTAGGGGTGGATGACGGTTTGTTTGGCCGAGATGCGGCCAGCGGGGTCATACACAAGGAGCGCATCGAGCAGGTCAAGGCCCACCTCGTCGAGGTTGGTGACAATGTTTGCAATGTCCGTCTTGGCCCACTTGGGGAACGAGGGCTTGAAGTCGGGGAAAGATGTCACACCGGGCCAATCCTGCTCGCTGGGTGTACCGAGAATACTAGTCTTTGTTAGCAATCACATGTGTTGTGCAAGGGATGTGTACATACCGGAAAATCTTGAAGATCTCATCAATCTCAGAGTCACCGGGGAAGAGAGGCTTGCGTGTGCACATCTCGGCGAAGATGCATCCAACAGACCACATGTCTACACCAGTCGAGTACTGGCGGCCACCGAGCAGAATCTCCGGGGAGCGATACCATAGCGTAACAACCTGCTTTGTGTCAGAAAAGGATTCTTCATTGTATATGCCAGCCACCGTACCTCGTGAGTGTATGTTCGTAGCGGCACACCAAAAGCGCGAGCCAGACCAAAATCCGCCAACTTGAGATTGCATTCCTTGTCAATCAACAAATTCTGGGGCTTGAGATCGCGGTGCAGCACTCGATGAGCATGGCAGTATCGGACGCCCTGGCAAAGCTGCATCATAAACTTCTTTACGGTCTTGTCGTCCATGTTGAGCGTCTGGCCGGCGAGACCAGAGCCCTCGGGCAGAGCCTTGCCTCGTCCACCCATGCTGACTGGCAGCGCCTCCATGTATTTCTTCAGATCGAGGTCAAGGAACTCGAAGACGAGGTACAGCTTGTGGCCGTCGGCGTGAACAATATTCAGCAGGCGGACAATGTTGGGGTCGTTCATCTCCTTGAGCAGGGAGATCTCGCGGATGGCAGTCGAGGGCACACCCTCATCTTCGGCTTCGAGACGGATCTTCTTGAGGGCGACAATGCGCTGGTCCTTTGTGGTCAGGTCGCGGGCCTTGTACACGACACCGTAGGTTCCTGGCGAGTGTTAGTAAAAAATATGCAGCCATCTCTGCGGAACAGACGCCTCCATACCCTCTCCGACCTTTTCCAACTTTTGGTAGTTCTCCATGGTGGCGGACTGCCGATTGCGGATGTTTCAGACGACAAGCGGTCAGGCGTGTTTGTTTTGCCGCGTCCAAGATGGGCAGTGTAGTGGCAGACGAGATTCTTCGTTTGGACAATCCCACGTGACGTGTACCTGTGGTTAGTAGTCGTGAGGGAGCGAGGGCGGAGCCGCTGCGAAGGGTCAGGAAGCGGGAGAGAGGGTTTGGCGTTGGTGTTTGTGCATGGGAATTTCAGAGAGGGTAAACACCTCGCCGCATCGGGCAACGCGCCGCCATCAGCCGCAAACACGAGATTAGTCAATGGCTCACTGCACCCCCCCCTGTCCCCCACAATCCCTTACATGTGCCATTGCCTGTTGGCTGCCTGCCTTTGCAGTCTTCACCATATCCCTGGCCAAGGATGCATCATCTCGATCCCCATGAGCGGCCGCCAGACGGCATACGCAATGTTTACAAGAGATACCAAAAGATGAAGTTGGATGCGTTGAACAATGACCCGGACATTATTGACCTGGCGAGCCATGACGCCGTTGCATCGGCCACCAGCACTAAAGTCCATGTTGTCAAAGAGTACGCCACCAAGGACTTGACCGCTATTTTCCAAGCTTTTGCTGGCCACGACGTAGCCCTGGATGACATGAAGATCCCCGACTCAGTGCCAGTCTACGAGCACGACGACATGCCAGGTAGGGAAACACCTGCATTTCACCCACCATTCTAAACCTCCGCCATTTCCCATCCCGCCTCCAGCCCTGACAAAACGGTAGGTCTCCACATGATCCCCTCTCTCCTCCCTGCAGAAATTCAATCCATCCTCCTATCCCGTCTACTCCACCGAGACCTCACCTCCCCAGCTCATCTCACAAACATCCACACTCACTACACTCTCTCCTACCCACCCTCCCACTCCTCCTTCTTCTCCCTTCCCCTTTCCTCCCCCACTACCATCGCCACGCCCCTCGACCCAAGCGTCCACAAACCCCTCTCCATCGCCCAACTGCTTAATAAGAAACTGCGCTGGACAACGCTAGGCGGCCAGTACGACTGGACCGCAAAGCGCTATCCTGCATCGCCTCCGCCACCGTTTCCGGGGGATACAAAAGGGATGCTGGAATCCCTGTTTCCCGGTACGAAAGCTGAAGCTGCGATTGTCAATTTGTATTCTCCCGGTGATACGCTGAGTGTGCATCGCGATGTCGCTGAGATGAGCTCTACAGGACTCATCAGCGTGAGCTTGGGATGCGATGCTATATTTGTGCTCGGCACTTCGCATGTCCAAGAGGACGGCGAGGTGCGCGATAAGGTTCTGACGCTGAGGTTGAGGTCTGGCAGTGCGGTTTATATGAGTGGGGCCTCCCGGTTTGCATGGCATGGTGTTCCACAGATTGTGGCTGGGACGTGTCCTGAATATCTAAAACTGTGGCCTGGTAGTACTGTACAGCAAGAAGGCGATCAGACTGGAGAGTATCAGGACTGGGCTGGGTGGATGGCGAATAAGAGGGTCAATTTAAATGTGCGGCAAATGTGGGACTGATGTTTGAACTGAAATATTCATTGATACGTAAAAAGCGTATTGTCATTATTAGAGATGGAGGTATAGCACGACTGCATCTGTGTATAAGGGGGTATGTGTATACGCAATAAAAGCCAACATGTCAACAAGCAACATTCAACCTATTCTCTTTTCAGGAGCCTGTTCCAGCCCTCGGACACGATATCGGTTATTCGTCTAGCTCTTGGTCGTCTCGACAGGCGCAGGAGTCGTGGCGCTAGCAGGCACAGCAGAGCCCGGAGTGGATCCAGTCTTCTCCAGTCCCTGCGTCTGGAGGGGAGCAGGTTGCTTGTCGACTGGTGAAATGGGGCTCGTAGGTACGCTGGCATCAGGCGCCTCGGCAGTAACCGTACCCGCAGCCTGGCGAATTACCTCCCACCATTGTTGTGCAGCCTGTGGCGTGTGTGCCTTGAATCCCACTTCGTGTGTCATGGAGAAGGCACCACCAATCTTGCCCTTGGACACATCTTTGCCCTTTACGTTGAACTTCTGGCCGTTGACTGCACCAACAACGCAGTCGGGAAGGTATAGAGATAGCTCTGGAGTGGGGTCCTTGGCAAAGTCATCGTCCGTCTTGAACTCGTGCAGGAACTTGGAGGGCGTCACAACGTAGTAATTTGTGTCATAGGAGCGCATGATCTTGCCCTTCTTTTCAAGTGAGCCTGAAATTAGAGGCTGCGTCGCGGTGTGGTGTTGATTGGGGAAGGTGATGTCTGCCAGAGTTCGTGCAGGAGCAGAGGGGTCGATGAGAACATTGTTGTTGCGCTGGATGAAGCCGTTCCACTCAAAGTCGAGAGGAATACGCTGAGACGTGCCAACCATGTCTCCGTACGCCGCCTTGGTGTGCTCAGCCTGCGTGGTGACGACTTGCAGGAATTGACCCATGCCATGTTGAATCTCCTGAATAATGTGGGCTTCAAACTGTGCGAAAGAGTTTTGCACAGCGATAAGGTCTTGTCGGTTGTTGTTTTCTTCCTGGACCTGCTTGTACAGACGGTGGTTTATCCCGCGTTTTAGGATGTAGGGGTCGTCAGTAGCCTTCATCTGACTGCCGCTATGCGAGTCAAATGCGGCAGAATGTTGTCCGAGGAGCTCAATGTGCTTCTGAGTGAGCAAGCGGGCCTTGTCGACTGCCTTGCTGCCTTTGCCAGCCCCTTTTGTAAGCTCCTTACTCTTGTTCTTAATTTCGCTGTGTAGACGCTCGAAGATAGGGAGGATGGCACTCTTGAGTTGCTTGGCTGTCTCGTAGTGTTGGTTGGAGATTCCCTATCATTGTCAGCAGAGTCTAGTTATCTCCTGTCGGAACAGCATACCTGGGTGTTTGATCGGATGTTTTCAAACATGCCTGCAACCCCACCAAGCGACTGGTCAAAGTGGTGGCCCTCCTTCAGTGGGTCTTTTACCGTCTACTTCGCATTAGCGTGTGTGTAGAAGAGATACACATGTAGCACAAACCTTCAAAACCCGCTCATACTCCTTGCCGTGTGCATGGTTCGTCTTCTCGGTCGCGGTAATGTAGTCTTCAAGGTAGCCGACTGCATGTTTCCAGGCTTGTAACCGCTCTGCAAAGAGCCTGGTTACCTGTGTTTTTGTTAGCGACGTGTTTGTTCGAGTGGACATCCAACGGCTTACCTCCGAAGTATCTTCTCCTGGAATGGCATCATCATCGCCTGAGCGATTGGTGAATGTGCGTGATGGCATTTCACTCGTGGCAGAGGTGGGCGCCGACATTTTGCGTGTAGCGTATTAATATGTACAGATAGGAATTGAATGTGTTTGAGGAGGGGTGTGAAAGTGAACGCGCTTAGGAGAAGCGTAGGGGTATTATGAGCTTCACGCCGCTCTAACTGGATTCGGTCCGGTTGAAGTGGGGTGCGTGCACTGGGAGTAAGATATGCAGGTATTATCGGACGAAACAGTGGATCCCCATGCAGATAGTTGTCAATCGTGTAAAATCAGGGTCCAGAGAGAGGGATTCGAAATGGATTTAAGCTCTTGAGCTCCAGTTCAGATCGACGCTTGGACTGTAGAGACAAGCAGGGCACTCAGGGTCTAGCTACGGCCATGACGTCAACGCTGGCGACTTTGGACGCCATCTCCGCGATATAGCTCCCGATCTGCACCACCATCCCTGAACACATCCCGACATGCGCTTTGGCTGCCATCTGCCGTGGTTGCTTGCATCTTGACCTGTAACCTTTAGAGACTGTGCCGCCGTATGCGTCGCGGACTGGTTGCGGCCCACACACACACACACCCATAGTACCGCTTTGCTCCAACGTCGCAGTTTAGAGACTAGTCAAGAATGCCTACATCTCGCTTTTCTAAGAGCATCACATCCGCAACCTTTCTAGTAGTAAATGTCATAAGAATACCTGATGAGTCAAGTGGCGCCAGCCGTCCATCACACTCCTATGACGCAAGACTATGACTTCAGTGGCATAAGGGGGGACAAGCTCGCTTGGTCATTGAAGAATGGTTCACTAAACAACACAGCCTCGTCAAATAGCAGTCCAGCCACAAATTGCCAATTGTGCTCCTTTAGCGTGCTTTAGTCTGCGCTACTACTCACCCCCCTTACGGCCCGACGATGCTACCGTGCCATAGCCGGCTTCGTTGTGAAGTCATTCATGCTCCCAGAAACTAAGGGTGCTTTTTGTCATTTCCAACAGTGGTGGGACGCTCACTCACCCAACTTGCCAAACTTTATGTCTTTGGGGACCTTTGTGCTGCCCCCAACGCATTATAGGCTCAATCGCTCTCACTAGTGGAAAATACTAAAATCTGCATGCATGAAACAAATGTATTGTCCAAGTCCGAATGCCTTTCAGACTTGTAGGCTGGTGTGTGTATCTGTTGTTGTTGTTCCGTCCCCTTCGTACCTTACACTATATCCATGTCTGAGTACCTTCTGGGCCTTCTTCTACTATATCCTTTGGTTTCTCCACCACAATGCAATACAGGAGTTTTGATTGTACAAAAGATCTAACAACAAGTACCAACTCTACTCGCCACCCGAATAGTTGACCTCTTAGGCGGTGCTGCAGCAATACGCAGTGCTGTTTGGAATGAGAACTAAACACACAAATTGATCAGCTATTAGATACCACACTATGCGAATTCATAAACATACCGCAACGAGTTACACTAGGCGGGAGGGGACCAGGCGTGCTTCCATTATCGCACTAATAAGTTTTGTGTCAGCACTGTTAATTCGTATAGACTATTAGCTTACTAACCGCATAGACAAGACCCTAGAGTGAATGGTTAGCTGGGATCATGTAATACGTTTAATAGAGTACTTACAGACGAGGAACAAGTTTGACCGTTGCCCGCGCCGATGAAGAGGCATCGAGCAAAGACGGTTGGGGTGAGGAGGACGATTGTCGTGAGGAAGGTGGTAGTCTTCATCGTGGCGGATTGCTGTAAATTTCGGGGTGTAAGTTAAGTGTTTGAGAGCTGTAGGGAAGTGAGATGGATAGTTTAGTATCTTGTCTAATTTTTCAGCAGCAAGCAATGTCTTATAACTCGATACTTAGCCAGTCTACGCTGTATGTTCCTAGTCTGTGAAGCTCTAGATTCTGTAAACGCTTGTGAATCGTACCATAAATCTATTCATTTACGAACATTCATTGCCAATATCAGCGTTGTCGTCAAGTAAAGAGAATAAATTTGATATCAGGGTAAGAACTAAGCTCTATTTAGTCAAAAGTCAGCTCCTAAGTAATTGTCTTATTTCTGAGTATGTATATGGAGTTCCTTTCTGTGCACTGTACAAGGCCAAATTAGGACGTCTGGTTAAATTAAGCTTCGTTGATGGACAATCAGCTCTGAGGAGCTGTTTGTATTTTGAGCGTCAGTAGGCTATGCTTGCTTATATAGCACGCGATCTTGCAAAAAGAAAAGCACTCTAGCGGAGCTTGATTTAATTGAAAATAGTACTTAGGTAGCGCCTGTATTACTACGCCCGACAATGATGCTAGTTGTTCTGGTGATCGTGGCTATTCTATTAATCTCGATATTGGCTTCTGTAGCTACATTGAAACTTGATACCCTTTCTTTTTTACTTAGTCCTGCTACCGGGCGAAGGTTCCTTTTTTTTTTTCTTTCAATTTAATATCGGAGCTATACTAGTCCCGCTGATTATGCGATGACGGTGGATAAGTAGGCTGCGCAGATTAAAACCACAGGATAGTGAAGTCGACAGCTAGTTTAGTAGCACATATGAGAAATATGCTCAGTAGTTGTAGCAGATCTCATAGTCTTACATACTGCAACAAAACTATAGCCTATTGGTATGTAAACATATTATGCTGCAAAGCCTTGGGAAGTCTAGATAGGCCAGTTGACTACGACATATGCAATGCACCACCATGTCAGACAAATGAGTCAGCCTACTATTCAAACACCATCTTTTTATTGGAGTACACTCGTTGAGTATCTTTTGCTGCAAGCATGACCGCATATAGGCAAGCACTCAGCCCATGCGCATCATGTTCTCTAGTGTGGCGAAGGAAATGGAGGGGCTGCTTATCGATAAGAGTCTCAAAAAGTTATTCCAGAGTGACGCAAACTCGCGCTCAGTGATTCTTCGCAGCAAACATCTCACCCAACATGACTTCGGTATTCGGGCCCATTGCTGGTGAGTAGAGAAACAACTACGTGTGCATAGACATGTCTAACAACGCCTTCGTCCAGAGGAACACCAAGAAAAGTTCGATCTCGGCATCTGGCACGCGCTCTTCAACTGGGCCAACCTCACCATCGCTGTACAAAATCAATGGGGCGGTCCTGATTCTTCAGAAAAGCGCGACTGGCTTGCAGGTCAGATTTCGGAGCGTTTTGCAGCAGAGCCTCTGACCGATGCGGAAGATGTGGAAATCATGCTTCTGCAGGTCCTCGAGGATGAGTTTGGTGTGCGAGTAGAAGACGATACTGAAGTCGCAGTCGCGCGTGAAATTATAACAATACGCAAAGAAATT